CCCATCTCAAACTTGGTCTTCCCCTTTTCCTAATGCCTTCCATTTTTCCAACCATTACTGTCTTTTCTAGTTCGTGGGGCTCATGTACGCTGAGCCTGAAAGTTGAGCTGAGACGAAGACCTGCACAGATCCTGTGTTTGGAGGACAACCCCCATGCTGCCTGGGGAATTCCGGGAGTCATAGTCCAAAACCACAATTCTGCTTACCAGCTGTGTTTCGGAGCATGCAATCCTTGTCACATATCAAGCAACATCCCAGCGCCAGCCGATGCATGCTAAATGCCTCTCATCCCATTTCTAGTTGCATAAGATCTAGTACAGTATTTCCCTCGTATATTAATTCCAAAAGGGCTCTCCTAAGTGGACAGTTACCCCGCATGACAGTTTTTTCACTAGACATTGACTTTTTGCAATTGCTATAGTGATTTGCAAAACAGTGATTCCTATGGGGGTATTTCGCTGGACAATGTTTGGTCCCTGCTTCGCAAACTGATTTTCGCTAGACAATGATTTCACTAAACAGCGATTTCAGGGGAATGGATTATCATCGTCTAGCGAGGCACCACTGTATTTTCTTTTTAAAGTCACCTTCTGTTTATTTTAAAGAGAAATAGAGTTTGCAGGCAACTCTGTAAGCTGAAAATTCCTCAAAGTGATAGACAGCTGGTAGCCTAATTCTTTTGCAGATGGCAGAGGGAGTGATGAATAACTCATTTTATTTTTCACACTCCCTCATTATGTGTGTGTGTGTGGGGGGGGGAAGTTGCAAAGTAAAATCCAACATAAGGAGCCCTAATCTCTGTAAACAAGGACAGTCCTTGGCTTTCCTCGTTTCCCTACATTTCTCGGTTCAAGGAGGACCCCGTTCACAGTCCAAGCCTGGCACTGCACCAAGAAACACAGCTGTTACGGGGAGCAGAAAGAGAAGCAAAATCGTCTGGTCTTGTTGTTTTTCGTCACACTCAAAGTCCAGCAGCGGTTTAAGTGACTCTGGGAATTCTATCCGGCAAATTGCAACTTCCCCTCCCCACCCCGGGTTTTAAAAAAAAAATCCCCAAATCATGTGGCATCTTAAAGACTATCCTATTTTAATTTAGTGGATCGAGTCCACTTGGGAATTCTGAAAACACAAGATGTCCAAAATGTTTTTGTATGGGCACAGGACAAATAAGAGCAAAAAGATTTGTACGTCATTTATCAACCGCCCTGATAGATTCTGATTGTTCAAGTTTGATTGTTAGATTCTATCTAGTTAAAGAAATAAAAGCATTCTTATCCTGTAGCGTTGAGCCCGCTCAACCGCCCTGATAGATTCTGATTGTTCAAGTTTGATTGTTAGATTCTATCTAGTTAAAGAAATAAAAGCATTCTTATCCTGTAGCATTGCTTATTACTTGCCTTGCTTTTTTGTACTTGGAATGAACCTAGGAAGCTTAACTACTTTTGTCTTTTAACCTCTCTCTTTTTTTGTTTTTATTTTAATAAAGCTGTTTTTAGAATAGACTCCTTATCTTGGACTCCGTAAATTGCAGAGAATTAGAATTAGCTTAATGGTATCTGTCTCTCTCTGAGCTAGAGAGGCACTTGCTTTCTGCAGCATACATCGGCCCACTGCAAATACAGTGGTGCCCCGCTAGACGCTTACCCCGGTAAACGATGAAATCACTTGATGATGACTTTTTTCCTATCGCTATTGCGATCGCAAAACGATGGTTATTATGGGGGGAATCCACTTTACGTTGATTAAGTCCTTGCTTTGCGAACTGTTTGTTCACAAAATGATGTTTTTTCCGGCTCCACAAAATGGCTTCCCCTCACAAAATGGCTTCCCTCCCTTTCACAAAATAGCTGTTTTCCGGACAGAAGCTTTGGAAGACAGCGATTTTAAACTTCGCTGGATGAGGAGGTGTTTCCCTATTGGAACGCATTAACCAGTTTCAAATGCATTCCAGTGGGGGGGGGGTTTCTCATGACAACGATTTCGCTGTACTGCGATTTTAAAGGAACGGATCGTCGTCGTCCTGCGGGGCACCACTGTACCCTGATTCTCTGAGGTAGCTTATTGCGGCAAGCCATTTCTCGGAAAAAGTTTCAATAGGAAGTTAGGTAAACAGGATATTCATGCTCAGCAAATATAGCCTACAAGCTATATAGCACATGTGCTACAAGCAGTTGCTTTTGCAAGTACGTACTGTATCCAGCAAAACAGGATATTTGCGATGGGCCAATGTATGCTGCAGAAAGCATCTGCCTCTCTAGCTAAGAGAGAGACAGAGAACATCAAGCTAATTCTTATACAGTATATTATCTTTTACCAGAATAATGGTCTGGGGTCTCTGTGAGTAAACAAATAAGACAGGGCCTGGGTCGATTCTTGACCAGAAGTCCCGCCTTAAAGGGGAGAGACACCTGACAAAATTGAGTTTGATGAATGCTAGTCCCTTATACTACTACAGAAACCCCTCAAATGTTTGAATATTGTTTATCAGTAGTTCTAGGGGACGCCTTTTGTTGTTGTTGTTTAGTCGTTTAGTCGTGTCCGACTCTTCGTGACCCCATGGACCAGAGCATGCCAGGCCCTCCTGTCGTCCACGGCCTCCCGGAGTTGGGTCAAATTCATGTTGGTCGCTTCGATGGCTGCCTAAGTGTACCCAAAAGATAAAAGGGTTGCATTTCCCAAAATGTACCCACTCACAGACAAATAGCCAAAAGAATAGATTCCAGAAAGGTATAAAAGAAGGGACATTTTCTGGGGGAAAATCGTAATTCCTCTTGGGAGTTCTTTTGAGGCCAAGAAATCAGATCCATGTGGAATATAAACACTCCCAGCTGCACAGATGTATCTAAGACTTATTTTAGTCACTAAAATGTATGTTTTAGTGACTAAAAAGTGCATGTTTTCTGAAGTTTTTGTGGTAAAGACTCTAACATTTAAGCTTCTTTTTCTTTTTCTTTCTTTCTTTCGCTTTTAGTGACTAAAAAGTGCATGTTTTCTGCAGTTTTTGTGGTAAAGACTCTAACGTGTAAGCTTTTCTTTCTTTCTTTCGCTGAAAACATTCTCCGGAGCAGTTGCTTAGGTAGCAAATTTAAGGGAAATTTTGAGGGAAAGATGTAACCACTTGTTTGTTTTAGAAAACAAATACAAACTTTCTAATGCCAGTTCTCACATTGCACCTTGCAGATATACCAAAACGTTTTAGAAAACAAATACAAACTTTCTAATAACAGGTTCTCACCTTGCACCTTGCAGATACTGTATACCCAAATAATGTGTTTCCCTGGCCACTTAAGACTGATCAGAGAACAGCATTGAACCTGAACAGTTCCTTTAAAAACACCTTTAGAACAGCACTTTTTGGAAGTAATTAGAAAATTCATTGTTGCACGGATATAACAGGTTTGGAACTGAGTTGCTTGTACAGTCATTTTCTGGCTGCTTGCTAAGTTACCTGTCATCCAAAATCAACTAATTACAGGGAATTCTGTTATTTGTAGTTAAGTTCCAAGTTCTTTTCGCCAAGGACATAGAAGCTATTGTGAATTATAGAACAGTAGTTGAGGAAAAGGCAGAAGATACATTAATTGTGTGCTTCAGAGTTAAATTAATATATATTGGTGTTTAAAGCCCCCCACCCCCAGCCACGTGTTTTATGCATAATTAACACAATATCATTTTTAAAAAATTAAATAAATAAAAATAATTAGGGAGTGATGACATGGGGCCTTTTTAAGTTGGCACAGCTTAGAGCGTCACTCTCTCTGTCTGGCCTTGCATTAACTCCCTCAAAACCATTTTCCAGGGTCAAAAAATTAGCCAGGGCTACACATACCACCAGGAATAAATTAAAATCTTTTAAGGGGAAATATTTGCTCGAGGGCTGCTAATTGCCAACTTCCTAGTTTAAGCATATACCCGTGTTTCTTGTTAAACCACAAAAGCCTAGAACAGATTCCGAATAGAAATGTCAGTTTTTTATTAACATTTTTAAAATCACTGAATTATACATTTTTATTTTATTTTATTTTTTTGGTTGTTGCTGCAGTTTTCTGAGAGAATGTACACAAGGTTGAGCAAGTCCCACCACCCCGCAAGGGAAAAATAAAAAGAAATACACCACCATACATAACATTTTTTAAAAAGCAAAATTTAGTCTTCTAAGACAGTATTCACCGACGACAGTATACACTACGGAGAAAGAATGAGAGAGACAGAGAGAGCTATATACATTTTAATGGCGACAAATCCTTTGCCAGGCCCTCACCACACAGAAATGCTGACATTTGTCAAGGAATATTCTGAAATATTATGGGAAAAGAGGACGTCTGTGATGCAGTAACACTGAGGCAATAATATATATATGATAAGATGTCCAAGGTCAAGCGAGAGGTGGTTGGGGGTGCTATTCCTCAACAGTGTGGGGCTTTTCTATCTTAGCAAAAGAGTTTGCCCTCCAGGAAATCTTTTGCTCGGTGGCCTTTTGGGCCACGGACATTATGGAGGACGTTGCCGTGAGTAACGGGAGTTAATCTGGACATAGAGCAGAAATGGAAGGCGGAGAGGAGGTGAAAGACTGAGGCCTCAATCTGAAGGGACGTGAACTGGGCGACGTCATGTTGTGTTCAGTCGCAAGGACGGAAGGAGCCATGAAGATATTTCAGCAGTTAATCCTAATACTAAGAAGAGCCCTCCGATAGATTGAAAAGCATATAGTAATGGGGGCCCTGACTGATGATGGTTTAATTCCCCTCAAGGGGAACAACAACGTTGGGAAACAGAACATAACTGATGTGATAGGAAGTATCTATAAATGACTGGTGTGCAATATACTGTATTTTTCCATGTATAAGACTATACTTTGGTCTAAAACCTTTAGAATAAAAATTGAGGGTCGTCTTATACATGGTAGTAAGTAGAGGAGAGAACAAAAACCAGTTGAAGGGAAAGCAGGGATCAAAGCGATCCTGCAGGGCTTTGATCCCTTTCCCCCTACACTTGCTAAGTCCCACTTAGATTTCTTACTTTTGGTTAGAAAAGGGGGCGTCTTATACACGGAAAAATACAGTCATGACACGAGACCTTTTTCTGATGAAAAATGCATTCAGCTTTCCTCAGAAATGTAAGCAGACCACCAAAAGCTCTTTGGGATTTGGCTGGAATTTCATGGCAGGGCAAAATCTTGGGTAGCAGTCTACGGATGAGCGAGACCCCCTCCCTGAGAAATTTCGCCGGATCGGGTTGGGGAAATATTTCGAATTCCTTTGAAATTTCTCAGATGTTTCGCTCAAGTAGGAACCTCCAGATTTGTCCTGGGTGAAATTCTGTCTGTGTGGAAATGACGTGTCCCATGGACAGGGAAGGTTACACTCGGGGAGTAAAATAACCAGGCATGGAATACCGAGCTAATAATAAGTGAATTATCTGAGAGAACAAACATCATCACCCATAGTTATTTTCACAGAGCTGAGACTGTCGCTCTCAGAAAAGGAGATAAAACAGTGGGAGCTGCATAATGAGGGAATTAAACCATCCTTCTGGATTTCAGAAACACATAGACATAGATTTGATCCTGGGATTAAAAAGAGAAAAAAATTACACCTGTGCTCGAGCGACCGAGCAGAAGAGGGTTGTCACAGCCGTTTAAGCAGAAGAAGGCACCCTTTATTGTACGGAGCTGTGTGTCCTTTTTTTAATTTATTTTGGTCTTTGGTTGGGGTTTAAGAATTGAGGGGTGTGTGAGGGGATATTTTTCGGGACAGGACAGCGGCGATCCAGCCCTCATGGCTTCGTTTCCAGCCGAGTTAGGACAAGATAGATGCAACGTTGTGGTTTTACGCGACGACTCCCAGAATCCTGGGAGCTGTAGTTCCAAATCACAAAGTTGTGCACTCCTCGTTAGGACTTTTAGGGCCCAAGAGGAGAGATCGTCTTAAAATGAGAAACAGGGAGGAAATGAAAGCCAAGAGGGTTGGTTGGAGGCCGAAAGATCCTAGACCTCCAGAAACGAAGGGCTCGAACCGTCCCCTCACTCCCAAACAAGCACACAATCACCGGCACATACACTTTGAGATCATTTTTCCGAATCACTTTTGATCATGTTCATGAGAGCGTTTTTGAGGCTGTTCTTGCTTGGAGACTTGACCGCGGGCTTGAGGCCTTGACCCTCGAGTTGGTCCCTCTTCAGTTCCATCTCGATGGTCATGACAACTTTCTTCTCGCTGTCCTTCTTTGGGGTACCTTCCCTGCCGGCTAACCGCTATTTCTTATCCTTGCGGGAGTCGCCCAGCCCTCCCTTGCCTTTCTTCTCACTGGCCGACTTGGTGAGGCGGCTGTGGTCCAGCATCGCGTACAGGACGGGGGGCTTTGCGGACGGAACGAAGGAAAGAAACGAAAAGAGGTGGAAAACGGGGAAGAAAGATCAGTTATCACCAAGAAGTCACAAAGGCTGGGACGAGTGCTTAATATATCGGCTCTCACACTATGTGGCTCGCCTCAAGCCGTCTCTTTATTATACATGCATTTCATTATCTGGTTGCAGAGCCAGAGTTCAATTCCCCTCGGTGCCTCCTGTGATTAAAGCCAGCCTGGGTAGCCTTGGGCAAGCTGCACAGTCCCAAGGCTGCCCCTAGAGGAAGGGATGGGTAAAGCACTTCTGAATATTCTCTGCCTGGAAAACCCTGGGAAAGAGATGCCATCATTTAAAGCTGACCGGACGACATAAGACGATATACCATATTTTTCTGTGTATAAGACTATACTTTTGTCTAAAATCTTTAGACTAAAAATTGAGGGTTGTCTTATACACGGAAGTAAGCTGAGGAGAGAACAAAAACAAGTGGAGGGGAAAGCAGGGATCAAAGTTATCCTGCAGTGCTTTGATTCCTTTCTCCCCACCCTTGCTAAGCCCCACTTAGATTTCTTAATTTTCGATTAGAAAAGTGGAGGGGGGCATCTTATACATGGGGGTGTCTTATACAGAGAAACGGTAGCTGGCTGAAGAGGGGGTTAGGTGAAGCTAGAGGTTGGGAGTTCAATTCCTCAATGTGCACCCTAGAAGAGCCAGCCTGGGTGGCCTTGGGCAAGCTGCACCGTCCCAGGGCTCCCCCTAGTGCAAGGGAAGGGTAAAACACTTCTATTCTATACCCGGGAAACCCCAAAAAGGGGTCACCATGAGTCAGAATTGACTTAAAGGCGCATGATTATTGATTAACATCAGGGTTATATCAGAAGGAAGCTTAACCTGAACACAGGCCAAGGCCTCCAACCCATATTGGCTCTTGTACAAGGACTGTATATATCTTCCTCCATTTTCCAGTCTACTTTTAGTGAGCCATTTGGGCCTTAGCAAGAAATGTCCTTCTGTTGCTAAGCAACGGTGGCTTTCTCCTCAACCCACTCTATGGCCAAGCAAGAGTAAAAGATAGATGATGGATCCTCGATTTTCACACTCTTGGGAATAATGTCACACCCTTTGCCTATCTTATTCAGTATTTATTTCCTCCATCTATTATTCGTTTATTTCCTATTGAGTAGCTTTCAAGTGGCTTCCCAGCTTTTGAGGAATCAACTTCATTAAAATGTCTAACCCATTTCTTCCTCCTCGTGCACCAGAGTCAGCTTGGGCTCGATGGCTGGCATGACAATTTTGGCCCCTCCTTCTTAAAATAGCCATGATATAATCTTCCTTGTTATTTCCTTTAAAAATTCATTTCTCTCTCGCATACTCACCTGGCGGCCTCTTTTGGAAGAATCCTTTCCCAGCCTCAGTTTCCCCTTTTCCATGGCACTAAAATGAAGGGAAAACAAGAAGAAAGTCCTAAAGTTTCTGAGCATGAAGTATGGTAGGGCCCACCCAACTGCTGGATCACTATCCGCTGATTCACTTATCCGCTGATTCACTTATCCACCGCCTATTTTTCTAAGCAAGCAAAGTCTAGATTTTTAGAGAGCATGTTTGTCATGGATCCGCATGCATGCAGCGCTGGGTACATAAGTGCAAAATGAGGAAGTAGATGGATCTGTGGGTAGAAAAATCCCAGTCCCTTTAAAGTCCCATTAAAAGTCCCGACTTCATCCCACCCCTCTAGGGCTTTACCTGAGTCTTCGTTGCAGAGTCGCTTGTCTCCTAAGCCAGCAGTATCGGATGAGATAGGCTATGACCAAGACCACTAAGACCACAAGCAGAACACCTCCAATAATGGACCCCAACACCACACCGTATCTGGTCGGTACTAAGAGAAGAGAAAGAAGGGGAAGGTGTTAGAACATGCAGAGTCTTATTTATTTATTTATTTATTTATTTTATTTCTATCCCGCCTATCTGGTCATACTAGACCACTCTAGGCGGCTTACAATTGGAGCAACAATAAAATTATTAAAAACATTACAAATAGACAAAAATGGAAATCAAAGAATATAAAAGAAAAATCGTCCAATAATGGACCCCAACACCACACCGTATCTGGTCGGTACTAAGAGAAGAAGAGGAAGAAGGGGACGGTGTTAGAACATGCAGAGTCTTGAACTGCCCCTTCCAGCCAAGACGCTTTAGTGCTGTAGCGCCTGTGTTCTCTTGCACTCTGTGTCGCCTGCAAGACAAAGCCGGATCTTTTGAGGTCGCCGTAGCAATCTAGGTGGGAGAAGGCGTTCCACCAAATATTGAGGTCCTAAACCATTTAGGGCTTTGTAAGTAAGCATCAACACTTTGAAGTCGATGCGGAATCGGATGGAATCTTAAACTGGCCCTTCCAGCCAAGACGCTTTAGTGCTGTAGCGCCTGTGTTCTCTTGCACTCTGTGTCGCCTGCAAGACAAAGCCGGATCTTTTGAGGTCGCCGTAGCAGCTTCAAAAAGATAAGAAGAGCCTGAAGTAGATGAATGGGCCATATAGTCCAGAGTTGTGTTGCTACAATGGGAAGGCCATAAGCAAGACGATACAGCGCTATACAAACTTAGCGCTATAGCACCCTGTTGGTCATGCTCAACAAACACTGGTGGTGGGAGCAATGCCAGGCTTCGTCAGACATTATTTGGTGCGTACTACTGTAGAACGGGAGGTCTTTGACCACCCGCCTCTCCATTTTGAGTTTTGTTGCCTTCCTATAATTTAGAGTGTGCTGAGATCCTCAACTATCTGTAAAGGCTGTGCGTATAATCTCCCAGTCACTTCCAGATCTCATCCTAATACTTTCAAGTGAGTTGTTCAACTCACCAGTCAATAAGTCCTTCCTACGTTAGGAGCAGATTTGGAATTCATTGATTTGTTTTAAGTGAAGTCTCACACACAAACAAGCTTAACACCGGAAAGTACGTTTCAGGACACGTTACCGTTTTCGAAGACGTAGAGCGTGACCTGGGAGGTCTTCCCTACGATGTCGGGCGGGTTCTTGACATCGCAGGTAAAGGTTCCGTTGTCTGTGTACTCCAGGTTGTGGATGATGATGGAGCCATCCTTCCAGCGAGGGTTCCCGATCCATTCGATGCGCTCTTTGAACGTTCCCACGTTATCTATGTAAGCCTGGCCTTTGGCATAGTGAAATATCTGTGGTGTGTGAGGAAAGGAGAGAGGAAGGGGTAGAGATGCAATTGTTTGAATTTCAAAAGAAAACAAGGAGGAAATGAAAGGGGTTCAGATTACTTGACTTCCCTTTGCTTGAGAGTAGGTGATAAATTCCAAAATGCTGGCAGAGGAGAAGTTTAAAGCCACACACCCCTCCCACAGATCCATATCGGCCACGAGACTTTGGGAACTTTAGTAAAAGCATATAATTTTGGAACTACCCATGAGACGTTGGTGCCTAGCCTGAGGAAGATGAATTATCACCGAAAGCTGGCTTATTTTTTTCTTTCTTAATGGTCTAGTAAAGGTTTCACCTGCTCCTGCATTTGTATTGTTTCTGAAGAGCCTGAAGCCTTCTCCTGATTGTTTTGGATGAAAAGCTGTAGCTCACAGAGCTGGTTGTTTGTGTTATACTTTTTAAAAAAAAAAGGTTTCCAGGTTCGTTCCCTGCCATATCCAGATTTGCAGTTAGGAGACATCTTTGGGGCAAAACATTGGGCAGCTCCTGCCCAACCTAGGTGGACCAATGATAGGACCGTGGCATCCGCAGGGGATCTGTTCCAAACTCTCACCTACGTGGATGCCAGAAACAGTGGATATGAGAGAACTGACTGCCAGTTTTTCTGCTGTCCGTGCATGGTTGAGAAAGGAAGCCCTGGTCTGGGATTGTCAAAGGACTCGGTTTCCTGTCCTCTTGTTTGTAAGGGAGGCTTTCCTGAAACCAGCGAGTGCTGCCACGTCTATTGTTTGTACTATTGATAGCCCCCTCTCTTTTATTTACTCTGACCTCTGGACCATACAGCAGGCATGGATGGATCGCTCTTCCACATGGCATAATTCCATATTGCTTATTTATTCTTCTGACTGTAACTGCAGAACTCAACTGTAAGTAAATGTACGTTTTTTCCTACTTAAAGTGCTTCTAGAGTATATTCTTATTACATTAAATGCTGGTCACTTTGAAAGGGGGGCATAATGCTGAGACCTGGGCTGTTCTCACATTTCCCTGCTGCTGTTTTTTTTTTAATCTCTTACTCCGCTAACTATACTGTATAGGGAATAATCTTACTTCTTCGATAAGCTGGCCTCTCTCACAGGCAAAGGTCAAGACAGAAGGACTGAGGCATCGGGAAAAAAATACCTTACCGATACGCTGTCTCGGCTGCTCTCTGGTTGAAAGACCCAAGTGACAGAAATGTCATCGGAGATCCATTCGTTTGACCAAAAGCTGCATGAGAGCGTCACTTTGGACCCCACTGTGCCATGTACCTCCCGGTCCGTGTAAACATGAATGGCTACAGCTGGAGTTAGCACTTTGGAGAAGAAAAAACAAAAAGCAATAATTATTTCTAGGGCGGCCCAAGGTGATTTTTCAAACCCACTGGGATCACAGCTTCCCACTGCCACACTAATCACATAATCTACGGCTCTGCATTAAATCCTTCTAGGCTGATTAATTGTTGTTGTTGTGTGTCATGAAGTCAGAGCTGACTTATAGCGATCCTAATAAGACCATCCAAGAAAGTGAGATATTTAAGGAGTGGGTTTTCCCTGTTCCACCTCCCTACGCCCGTGAGTTTTCATGGCTGAGTGGCGATTCGAATCCAGGCCTCCTGAATCCAAGTTCTTCACTCTATCCATTACAACACACCGGGTATAGGCTAATTAATACACTCCCGCTTATAATCATTCTAATTAAATATCATTAATATAAACTATCCTGGATCTGATCAATTCATCGATTCAATGTAAGCTAACCTGTTTTACACACATTGTACTTTTTTAGAAATACTTCTGTTCTCTTTTAAAGACCTCCAGACAGCTTGCAAATCAAGCCCAAGAACGTATTTATGATCTCCGATTAGTTATTAATGGCATTGCCGCCCTGCTTCTCCGCCAGTGAGGTCAAGATAGAGTATATCGCTTTTGTCTTCCCCACTTACTGTCAAAACAACAGCCTTGTCGGGTAGATCAGGCGGAGAAAAATTCACTGCCTCAAGATCGCTCCGTGACTATCCTGGCTCAGTGCAGGCAAAACCTCAATATCCCTAGGAGTCACATCATGCGGAATCTCTCTGGACATGAAATGGTTTTCTCATGTTAAGTGGAGAAGTAGCCTGTCCCTTGGAGAGCAGTTCCAGGAACAGAATACAGTGGTGCCTCGCTAGACAATGATAATCCGTTCCACTGAAATCTCTGTTTAGCGCAATCATCGTCTAGCAAAAAGCATTTCCCCACTGGAATGCATTGAAACCTGTTTAATGCGTTCCAATGGGGAAGAATCATCGTCTAGTGAAGAGTGGCCATAGGAAAGCCACTTTGCGAACCGCCAATCAGCTGTTTAAATCGCTGTCTTGCGCAGCTTAGGTCCTGAAAACACCTGTTTTGCGAGCGCGGAGGGGCTGTCAAAATTGTTGTCTAGCAAAAATCGGTTTGCGAAGCAGGGACCAAACATTGTCCAGCGAAATTCCCCATAGGAATCACTGTTTTGCGAATCGCTATAGCGAGCGCAAAAAGTCAATGTCTAGCGAAAAAACTGTCATGCGGGGTAACTGTCTAGCGAGGCACCACTGTAGACCTCAGTTTCTCCATGTTTATGAAAGAGGACATGGGGAAAATATGTAATCAAGATGGCTTTAGAGAGATACTATCAGTGACAGCTTTAATTTTCGTATCTATTGCCGTCTATTTGTCCTGTATGACAAATGCTGCTTACGTAAATAAAAACATCCCTTGTTCCTTATGCTGACATAAATAAAAGCCACCCCATGATTATCAGTGATTGGTTGATTATAAAGCCATCTTTATACATTTTGCCCCCCCATTGCCTTTTTACACCAACACAGAGAAACAATAGCCACACAAAATGAACCATAGATCTTGTAAGGGTTGCTCTGCTGGACCGCATCAAACATTTATGGAGACCTGAGTCATTTTTCTAACAATGATCAGCCAGATCCATCCATCCATCCATCCATCCATCCATCCATCCATCCATCCATCCATCCATCCATCCATCCATCCATCCATCCATCCATCCATTCATTCGCTATGTCTATAGGTGCTTATGGCTCTTAACATGGAGCCCCATGCAGTTTATAGAAGAAAACATAGAGAAATGAATTAGACAAGAAGAGAAGAAACAGAATATTTTAAACCAAGAAGAGCTGAGTTAAAAGCCTCATTCTGAACTGAAGAACTATTAAAAGCCAGGCCAGGTGGAATTTAAATGTAAAGAGCCAGCCTGGGTGGCTTTGGGTAAGCTGCACAGTCCCCGGATGCCCCCAGAAGAAAGGAATCGGAAACTGCTCCTGAGTAAGCTCTAAAAAGAAAACGGTGAAAAGGCGTCGCCATAAATGAGAACTGACTTGGCAGCCCATGATTGTTATTATTAGAAGTAAAATGAACCCCTCCCTCTTAAAATCATCAGAAAATTGATGTTGTGAACAGGATGCTATCTTATGAAAACCATGTTTTCCAGTCTGATCCACCAAGCTTCTTTGGGTGATGGGAGAAACCGGATCAGTTTCTCGGTTAAACAATATGGGATACAGCAACCCATTCCTCCCTGTTGGTGGTCAGTTTTAGTCCTGTTGCCGCTGTGGATTGGTTCTGTGTTGCAAGAGGAGAAAATTTGTCTTCCCTCGAGGTTTGAAGGCGGTCGAATGGTCTGATTCTGCCCGATGCCGGTCTCGCCTGTATTTGTGCGCCATTTCCTATCCTCATCACCCTCAATATTGTCAGGCGAAACCCACGTAGCCGTGGGTCGTTCGCAAAGGAATTGTGCGATCGATCTGTGAATAATTTCAATTTCGACAATAACATTGTTGACACAAGTGGCCTGCGGTGGGAATTAATGTATAATTTCACACTTGGTAAATGACTCAGGAAGCCTGGATTTGACATCCAGCCCTTTTAGGTGGGCCTCTCCAGCATCCGTATCTACCTTATAGCATCCCTTTCCCTTTCAAATCAGTAGTGGGTTTATTCTCCCCCTAAAACAGACGCTTGTACAGTGGTGCCTCTCTAGACGATGATAATCCGTTCCACTGAAATCGCTGTTTAGCGAAATCATTGTCTAGTGAACAGCATTTTCCCATTGGAATGCATTGAAACCTGTTTAATGTGTTCCAATGGGGAAGAATCGTCGTCTAACGAAGATCGGCCATAGGAAAGCTGCCTTGCGAACAACCGATTAGCTTTTTAAATCGCTGTCTTGCGAAGCTTAGGTCCCGAAAACACCCGTTTTGCGAGCGCGGAGGGAGCTGTCAAAATGGTCGTCTAGCGAAAATCAGTTTGCGAAGCAGGGACCAAACATTGTCCAATGAAATTCCCCCATAGGAATCACTGTTTTGCGAATTGCTGTAGCGATCGCAAAAAGTCAATGTCTAGCGAAAAAACTGTCATCTGGGGTGGCTGTCTAGCGAGGCACCACTGTATTTTACCGTGTCCAGGGAGATTATAATGTTCTGAAACAATTTTTAATCTTTATCCAGTTCTGGGGGGTCAAATTTATGCCAGAGAAAAAGGTGTGGCATCCTTCAAAAAAAAAAAAGAGAGAGAAGGGTTAGATTTTTACAGAAACACAAGAAAAATAAGATGTAAATAGGGCTTGCGTGGAGGTGGAGGGGGTCACCATTTATTTTCCTAACATCCACCACTCGGTTTAGGTGAATTTTAAATTTTGGGGCCCTGGAGCGAAGACGCCACTCGCTTCTCACTCTAGCGACGACCTTGGCGTGATACAACCGGCAGCAGAAACGAGGTGCCTCCGAGGTTTGCCGAGGACTGTTGTAGGTCTCCGAAGCCTACATAGGGGCGTTCATGAGACCAGAACCTCATGACATGTTCTGGAGGTGTAGAAAGCGCCATTGTTCAACCGGGAAGAATATACAAGGGCTCCCGGTCTTGAGGGACTTTTGTTCCACCTCTCCACCTCCTCATCCATCCATCCAGTAGGAGGTTCGCTCCAGCCGCCAACGCTGCTGACCAAGCTGGAGAACATCGCCGGGTGACCCAGGATCCTCTGGGGCGACATTTGGAGTCAAAGAAGACCGTTGTGCCGGCCGCACAATCTGGTCTTTTTTTGTGCCACCCTCGGGGACAAATTCCTCGCCTGGGGAGGTGTTTTTTTTTTTAAAAAAAAATATATCTCTTGCGCTTTTCCTCCCCAGTCTGGAAAAAGGAGCCGCCTTCCAATAAACCTCCATGACATTGAAGGCACCCCCTCCATCTTGCCTGGGTATTGTGTCTGTGTGTATGGTTTCTCTTTGCAGTCTCAGCAAACAAACAGGCAACAAAAATCAGGATTTATGAGCCACTGGACATCACTCTAAAATGGCTGTGCCCGGACACTCCAATGTAGTGTAAAATGTCAAAGGAGATGTCTGTGGGGGTTTGGGAACAGAGACAGCATTTGGGACCATTAACGCCCTGAGAACATTTTACACCATAGTGTGAATAGCATGGATTCTAACGGACCCAGCTTTCCTGAGTCCTTATCTGTTGCTCTGTCCGCCATACCACATAAAATACACAGAGAGGTTTTAAAAAGACATATGTTTCCCTGCCTTTTGAATCCCCTACCCTTACCCACATCAGGGCTCACCCAGGTAGCATCATATTTTGCTGAATGTGTCTTAGAGTTAATCTGGGCAACGAGAGCCACCTAAAAGATTCTGGATTTTTTTAAATGCAGGAAACTTTGTGGCAATGGGGGCTGTAGTCCAGCATTTGCTTTGCATTCACAAGAGACTAGAGTTCTCCTCTGTTAGCTTTGGGTAAAAATGGCCAGGCCGCTGGCGTCGGGAACGAATTCTGTCCAAAAAAACCTAAAGAGCTGACCAGTCTAATGTGACCATTCTCTGCGGTTTCTGATCCCTAGCGATGGCAGGATTGAACCCGGAAAGACCCTTGCTCTACCTCTGAATTCATCTCCTCCACCTTCAAACATCGAGGAAGCTTCTAGTCCTCATGCACAGGACTATTTAAATAAATAAAAAAATAAAGGCACGTGTCCTAGAGGAGTCAGACCATCTAGTTATGACAGTGGTGCCAGATGTGCATCCTCCTATCATACAGGTCTACAGCTTTTTTACCTCCGAAAACAGCAAGATTCTAGTCCTCAAGATTCCGAATACAAAATGGGAGTATAAGAGTCTCCTTTATAGCAAGACAGATCCTTGGCAAAATGTTTGCAGATCTGGGTTTTTGGTTTTTGTTTGTTGTTGTTATCTAAGGGATTCTGGGAGTTGTAGTCCGAAAGAATACAAATCTGCCTATTTTTAATCCTTGGGTCAATATTGTCTAGAGC